GGGGGGGGGGGGAGAGAGAAGATAAGATAAAGTAATTAATGGATTCCACTCATATGTATTATAAATCCTGAGAAAATAAGACCTTGTCTGACTCATATTTTTGAAAAATATTTTGTACACTAAAAGGTGTGCAGCACATATTTTTGGATTCCCTTGTTTAACTTAGCGATTTGATTCTGAGTCTATGTTTGGATGAAACAGTTGCTGTTGGGCCTTTGATGGGGTGTCTGTGTGTAGTCAGGTATGTTCAGGTGTATAGATAACCAGTGCTCAGGTATAAAAACACCTGTAATCCTCACTCTGTTAGTGTCCAGGTGAGATGACAAATCCCTGCTGTTTTCATTCTTCATCCAAAATATTCTTCTATTTGTATACAATTAGAAAATGTTTATAAACAAATCGGCCAGAACTAAGTAGAGTTTAAGATCAAAGGGAATTGGTGCTCTACCGGCTGATCATAATTGGCAAATATCAGGTGAGGGTGGCATTGGATTAACTTTGGAGGTTTTGACTTGGCCAACAGTTTAGGCTGGAACATTTTTGTTGCTGTAATTAGCGCGGTGGCTGTGTAGGGTGGAGGGCAGTACCAGAAGGTCAGGAGACGTTTTTTGGTAAAGATCGGGTGACGGGAATATTGAGGTGAGTAACAAGGAAGAGGTTGATTGCAGAGAACTTAAAGCATATTTGATGTGGTCAGAAGAGCTTTTTTTGATTCAGTGAAGTTATGTTTTAAAATGACCAGTTTCTAAAGTGCACTTATGTAGTGAATGCACTTTGGAAAATACAGTGGCTGAAAAAAATGTTGGATCTCTTCATTTGATCTCTTTTCCTATATCTCTACTTTAGTGCTTTTTTTTTGTTTGGTTTATATGCTTTTTTTTCCTCATTTAACTTCACGCTCTCTCTCTCTCTCTCTATCTTTCTCACAAAAGTTTAGTGCAGTTGCCCCACTGCAATACGGGGATGTAAAAACCAGCCTAAGGCAAACAGAGGTTTCACACTACATCAAGAACTGCTTGAAATTGCCATTAATATACATGGCTGGTTCAATCGGATAAGCAATGAAAAAAATGCACTGACCGTGATTCTAATTCTCTATCATTTCTTGGTGTTAATTGTACAAATGTGCATTAATTTAGATGGAAGCTCAGTAGAGGTATTGATTAGCTATAATAATTCCTGTAATCACGGCTTAAGGCTACTGCTTTTTTGCACTCATTATGTTTTTTCTCTCTCTTTTTTTTTTAGGGGAGGAAATTTGTTTCATGTCAAAAAAGATTTTCGGTACATTTGTTAAGCTGATTAAGCTTTTAACCAATTATATTTATATCTTAAAAGTAATCTTCCTTGTCATAATTATTTTTGATGTGTTTATTTTATTCTATTTTGGGGAGGGAGAGATTGTGGAATTTTGGATTTAATATCTTTTTTGATATGGTCAATAAGTAGAAGGTATGATATTGCAGGAGATATAATTTAAAATGCAATGAGGATATTTCACTGAAATCAAAAAGAATTCTTTTCAGTGAACATCATGCAACCATCAGTTCATTACATGATCAAATGGGGAAAAAAATGAAAACGCTGTGCACCAGATGTGACAGATCTCAATCTCTCTGGAGTCTGGACACAAAACCAGTCTTGCTTCCTGATGCAGGAAATCAAGCAAGATGAGACCAGTTTTTCAAGATAAAGAAACGTATGGATTTTTTTCTAAGCACAGGAAGGCAATTTGTGTTCACCAGATAGGAAGTAGAGGCAGTGAAAGGAGGGAATGGTAATGGACTAGGGTAATGAGATTAATGAAATATTAGGATTCTTTTTAATACTGCTGGTGCATGAGGTCTTTGTTATTTTCATTTTTCTTGTAATTTCTAAATTCCAAACTTACATGACATGATTTTTTTGTGTGTATTAAAAAAATGAGTCTTGCATTGCAACTAATGAAAAAAATTTATGATGTCAGGGTGAGTATCTCATGTCATCCCCGACCCCCCCCCCCACACACACACACAGACACCTCAGCTCTGCCAGAGGTGTGGACTCAGAGGAGAGTTCAGGGAATTTGTTTGAAACCTGTGTGATCTGAACTATAAAAAAAAATTTCCTTTAAAATATTGAACACCTGACTCTTGAAAATTGACAGAAATGCATGAAATATCTCAAGAATCACGGGTGATTTAAGGGTGATTGTAATTTGTGTGGAGAGGGGAGATGGGGGAGTCAAAAT